ACTTAGCCTGTAAGATTTTCTATTCTGATTGGCTTAATAAATAAATAAATAAATAAATAAATATTGAGAGATTTATGAAAGTGGGCTCGGATCTGCTGAAATACTGAAAAACATGCTGCTGGTGATGCACTCGGTGCGCGTTTTCCACAATGATGACGGCACCCTGCAGCTACCGCGGTGGGAGTTGACATGGAAGCGTATTGGCGAATTTTTTCCGAACATCAAGGAGGAACTGTTTCATGATGAAGATAAGCGTGCTCAAGTGATGTCTGTGACCAATGCCGCCGCATCACCTCAACCACCACCAATAGCCCCAGCTGAAAGTATAACCTCACCTAACGACATTTTTCTGCGTATGTTTTCAGTAGTTCTGTTGATTTAATTGCAGGAAAAGCCAACAAAATGACCTCGACTCCACCAAAAACGGGTGAAGGCTTGTTCGGTGAATCTTGAATTGAGCTGAGCAGCGCTGCTACAATGGATAGCGTCAAGAGTCCGGATAGAATCACACCATTGCCCTTCACAAGTGGTGAAGAGTATTTACGTTTGTTGCGCGAAGCGCAACGCGAATCAAATCACTCCAGTCGTGTTGTCTCGCTGGCCAGTTCGCGCCATGATACACCCAGGGATAGCCCCAAATCGCCACCAAACAGTCCGAATACCGAGCTCACACCCAATGAAGATCTCAAGAATGTTTACATTAATTATTGGAATAAGGGGGGAGATAGTCACAAAGACACAGACTGGCTGGATGAATGGAATAGCCGACCGGATCAAGAACCACCAAAAGATTGGAAATTTGAACATCCACAAAAAAAGAAGGGTGCTGGTTATTCCATTCGTTTGACGCGTCTTGGCAAGAATTCGCTATTTTCCAGAGAGATACTATACCCGCTCATTTTGTCGAATGTGCTGTCCTTGTTATTAGGCGCTGGACTAGGCTTATGGCTCAGCAAACGTGACATTCTCTTGACCCGAGTTGTCATTGACTGAACGGAATGTTAAAGAAAAGTGATTTATATACATATGGGGCATTTCACCTCAAGTGACCCAACTTTTGAAATCTATGTCTTCCGATCGGGATGAAATTTGCACCAAGGTTAGTAGTTATGACACAAAATTTCAATGGGATCGGTCAAACACACTCCGAGTTGGAGGGTCTAGAATTTTGACATTTTGGTCAAACGGCCATTTTTTCGGATCCATATAACTAATTACCTATTGTATTTAGAAAATTTTTTCAGGAATGTTTTCGATAGATTTCTCTTCAGTCTTTCCAAATTTTATTTTTTTTAATTAAAATGAATTTTTTTTAATTTTTTTTTAAATAAAAAATAATTTTTATGTTTTTTTTCAAAAAGGGGTATTTTATTTTATTTTTTTTTGCTCAAAAGAAAGCTTAGGTATTTTTCTTTAAGAGCTTTGTGGTCGCTTAGTGGGATGCAACTTGTGTATCAATCAAAATTAGCGTTTAGTAACTCGAAACAGCGGTTTTTTTAATTTTTAATATATGACCTATTGTCTTCTTTTTTTCGTATTATTGTGTAAGTGTCTCGGAAACCTGAAAATAAAACTTATATGAGAAGGTATATACAATTACCTTTCCAACGGTATATAACACGCCTAACCAAAGTTTCATACCCTCGATACTGCCATTCCCGTAGTTAAGGATGATTAAGATTTTTCGTAGTCTAACACAGCAGGTACTCGATTTTGTGCATCCAAACTCTTTATTAATAGCTTTGCAGAATTTTGAGTATTAGATTTGCATACCTACTAGCACAATATTTAAAAGGTATGAAGAATATGGGATTTTCCGGTAGTTAAGGATGATTAAGATTTTTCTTTGTACCTAACCAGAGCAGATTCGTCCAAACCTTTTCTCAATAGATATTCATACCTACTCGCGCAACCTATAAGTAGCTATAATAAATCAGCTATAGTTTATGAAGGCAGTGTATGGTCATTTTGAAGACCACTTTTTTAGAAACAGCGTTAAAATAAAGACTGTGTTATTTACATAATTAATATTTTCAGTAGCTATGGCTCATAAAAAGGCTAAGCTTGATAAAGAAATTTTTGCTTCTTTTTGCTTTAATCCCTTCAACAAAAAAAAACCACGTTTCTTCAGATACACGACGGCTTTCTAACGGCTTAATATCAAAATTCCCTATGCTATCAAAACGTATGCGAATTTGTGGATCGTGCAGGAAAGAGCTCAGCAAATTGAAGGAATTACCGACTTCGAAAAGTAATGAGCCTTGTGAAGACGTTATTCCAGATAGAGACCATATTGAATCTGAGAAGGATGACCGAATTTCCGATGACGATGGCTCCAACTTTACTGAAGAAAATATGACTTCAAGGGATGAGTGCCAAAACCAATACCACAAGGATGCAGTAAAAGTACTTGAGCAAATAAAAGAAAAGTACAAAACTTCAACTAGTAGAGCAGAAAAAATTCAACTTCTCACGCTTGCTCCACCGACATGGAGTCGCGCAAAAACAATGGCTGACTTTGGAACATCAGAAAGAAAAGCCAGGATTGCTAAAAAATTAGTTGCAGAGCATGGCATACTCACACTCCCAAACACAAAGAAAGGAAAACTTTTAGAGTGCAAAACTGAAGCCCTAGTGACTCAGTTTTATTAGCGCGATGATAAAGACTGGGTGTCTGTACGAATTGACGGTAAGAAAGTTCAAATGCAGAAGAGGATAATTCTCTGCAACCTGAATGAGCTGTTCGCGAGCTTTCAATCTGAACACGAGGATATTAAAATTGGATTCACAAAATTTACCCAGCTCAGGCCAAAACATTGCGTCTTGGCAGGAAGCAGCGGAACTCATACAGTATGCGTTTGCATTTATCATGAAAATGTGAAGCTGATGTTGAAGGAAATCAACTTGAATTATTTAACAAATGATTCGCCGGAAGATTTGAACAGTTACCGTGATTGCCTTAAATTGACAATGTGTCCTAATGTATCAACTTCTTGCCACTTGGGTGAATGCTCAAATTGCCCGGGAACTACGTTCATCAAAGAGAATTTGGTCAAGTCTTTTGACCGACAATTTGTGGAGGAGGTCAAATTTGAATCTTGGCTGCAGTCTGAAAGGTGCACATTGAAAACAGTTATCTTAAGTGTGGACGATTTTGTGGAAGAAATTTGTACCGGATTGGTAAACTTGAGAACCCATGACTTTCTAGTCAAGGAGCAGCGGTCATTCTTCGAAAATTTGAAGATACATTTGCAGGCAGGTGAATTCGTTATTTCATACGATTTCGCAGAAAACTATAAATATGTTATCCAGGATGCCATACAAGCATTCCATTTCAATAACGACCAAGCAACTATATTTACAATAGTTATTTACTACATGAAAGATGGAAAACTGGAACATAAAAGTATGGCAATCATATCCGACGATTTGAAGCATGACGCCGTTGCTGTTTATGAGTACCAGAAGATAATACTAAATTATCTAAAATCCGAATTCACAGTAGCGAAGGTATACTACGTTTCGGATGGAGCTCGTCAGCATTTTAAAAACAAAAGTAGCTTGGCAAATCTTATGGCTCATGAAACAGATTTCGATACACCAGCTGAGTGGCATTTTCATCCTACTGCTCATGGTAAAGGAGCATGTGATGGTAAAGGAGCAAATATTAAAAGAAATGCCGCGAAGTATAGCCTCCAATGCTCTCATCAAGCCCGTATCTTAGATGCGAAAGCTTTATTCCGGTGGGCAAAGGAGTACTGTAAAGAAACTGAAATAATTTTTAGTAGCAAAGATGATCATGCGATAACTGCGAAATCACTGAAGAGCAGATTCGATGCTGCAGTAACAATCGATGGTACCGCTCAATATCATGCTTTCATACCGATTGGCGATGGAAGGCTCAAGTTAAAGAAGTTTTCTTCCTCTACCCAATGTGATTTCTTTCCAAAAGCGAAACCCGAAGTGAAATCAACAGCAGAACCCAGTAACCCTAAGAAAGGATTGACGAAAAAAGCCACAAAGAAAGGTGGAAAATAAGGTGGATGGAAGGCTGGCTATTATAAAATTAACTATCTTGTATACTTTTAATGTATCTATTTATTAAATTATATATTAAAAACTATTCTAAATAGATAAAAAAATTCATAATTTTGACCAATTCTATAGAAAAACAGTTAGTTTATTCCAAAGGTGTACATATTGTGGGTGTTGTTATATAGCGTTGGAAAGGTAATTGTATCTAATTTTTTATATGTCTTATTTTCAGGTTTCAGAAAAACTTAGGTCATATATTAAAAATTAAAAAAAACGCTGTTTCGAGTTACTAAATGCTCATTTTAATAGATAAACAAGTCGCATCCCACTAAGCGACCTCAAAACTCTTAAAGAAAAATACCTAAGCTTTCTTTTGAGCAAAAAAAAAAATTAAAAAAAAATACCCCTTTTTGAAAAAAAACATAAAAATTATTTTTTATTTAAAAAAAAAAATAAAATTTGTAAAGACTGAAGAGAAATCTATCGAAAACATTCCTGAAAAAATTTTCTAAATACAATAGGTAATTAGTTAGATGGATCCGAAAAAATGGCCGTTTGACCAAAATGTCAAAATTCTAGA